CGTTATAATATAAATTATATATATATATATATATATATATATATATATATATATATATATTCAAATTACAGCGTGGTCCTAGAGTCTTGTCACCCCTACATAATCTAACTTTCTATTTCAGATGTCTGACACTAAAATGATGGTGTTCATATAGACCTTCTCAATGTGTGACAGCGTCAATGAAAGTGAATAAAATAAACCCAGTATATGTGCTTTGCATTATTGTATCACTTGTTCTATTGTTCGCATTACTTTTCGGTAGTGGGTGACCAGACTTTCAGACCACCCTGTACAGCATATAGAATGATTATATGCAGTAGGCTGGGATTTAAAACATTTTTCTCTTAATCTATTTTTCGGGAAAATACGTTTCTCATATCCGGTAGCTGTTATAGTTCCTTCCAGTATTTATGGGGGTTTTCCTCCTTAACATTTTATTTGAAGTAATGTGGAACATCAGAACTTGATTATTTCATTATTTCCTCTTCGAGTTACATGTACTCTCTATTTGAGTGACAGAACTAATTTCACCTCGGAACTAATTTCAACTGGGAATTATTTTCACCTCGGAATTAATTTCAATTCGGAACTAATTTAAACTCGGAATAAATTTCAACACTTATCAAATTTTAACTCGGGACTAATTTCACCTCGAAACTAATTTCAACTGGGAATTAATTTCATCTCGGAATTAATTTCAACTCTGAACTAATTTCAACTCTGAACTAATTTCAACTCGGGACTAATTTCACCTCGGAACTAATTTCAACTGGGAATTAATTTCACCTCGGAATTAATTTCAATGCGGAAGTAATTTCAACTTGGAATTAATTTCAACCCTGAACTAATTTCAACTCGGGACTAATTTCACCTCGAAACTAATTTAACTCGAAATTAATTTCAACTCATAATTAATATCATCTTGGAACTAATTTCCACTCGATTTAAATATCCTAACCCTAACCCCTAACCCCATCCCTAACGTTAACCCTTAGTTCCGAGGTAAAATTAGTTCCGATTTGAAATTAGTTCCGAGTTTAAATTAATTCTGCACCCCATCCATTTTAGTTGTTGCTGCTGTTGGTAGTCCTCAAGTGATGTTGTTTGGTACAGTTCTTTGTTTTTGATTCTGTAGTATCAGTCCACAAGGTTTCAAGATATATGAAGGAAATGAGTAACATCAATGTTATGAATAATCATGAGTAGTCAAGCCCTTGTTTTGTTAATATATATATACATATATATATAGCCCTTGTTTTGTTAATCTCTTCTTTGAGAGAGCTATTTGTATTTACTGAGACTATAAAAAGACACTATACGCGAACCTTACATTCTCAGTTGAATAAAGCTTTCTTAAAGCATACGCCGTACTTTTGTTATTACAATTAACAGCAACAAAACAACAACAACAACAAAAAACGCCAATATCAAAACCCTCGATAACAACAAGAAAAACAACAGTACAACAATGTTACCATCGTTTACAATAACACCAACAACAAAAATTAACGATAATATTGAAGAAGTAAATTCGAGAGCAACAACAACAAGAAGAAAATGATGAATAAATAAATAAAGACAACAGCCATAAAAGCGGCAAAGCAATTTGTTAGCAACAGCAACAAAATTAACGACAACGTTTGTGTCAACAAAATCAATGAATCGATTGGAATCAACAATCAGCCCCCCCCCCCAGCAAAGTCAATATCGGTGACGTGGATAAAGATAAAGTCACAATCAACAACAAAGTAACGAAATGAAGTGAAATACCATTAATAACAACAAAAACAATCAAACTAACAGAAACAGCAGCAACAACAACAACGACATAACCAAAAAAGCCATTGGCAACAACAACAAGAATAAAACTAAAGTCAACAAGAACTACGACAATAACAAAGAATTGACGCCGTTGTTAACAACAACAAAAACAATCGCACTAACGTCAACAACAACAAAGGCAATGGCAAAAACAGCAACAACAACATTAATAATAAAAAAAAAATGCTGACAACATCAGCAAGAATAAAGCTGGTGCATGCAGTAACAACAGCGAATCAGTAGCTCCATCAAACAACAAAGGCAACGACACCAACGACAAATGCAGGTACAATACTAACAGCAACAGCAAGAAAAATTAGAAGGCCAACGGCACAAACTATTGTCAAGTTTGACCGAACAAAAAGCTGACTCAAAGCAAATAAAGGTTTACACTGATAAAGACGTGACGAAGCTAAAAAAAAATCAGCTTTTTATGGGGGGGAGATTTTTATCTCTCTCTCTCTCTCTCTCTCTCTCTCACTCACTCACTTTCTCTCTCTCTCTCACTCACTCTCTCTCACGTTATTATATATGCAATTAATAACTGAGGGTTATCGTCACTGAAAAAAAAAAGAGGCAGAGATAGACAGGTAGATAGGAAAAAGAGAAGTGAAAGACGGATATAAAAAAAGAGGAGTCGGGTGGGGTAGGTGAGAAAGGAACGGGAAAAGAAAGACATAAGTAAAAGATTTTCTGTTGATAAAATTTGTTAAATGTTTACCTGTTTCTACATTTTATTATACGCACACACGAATTTTATAAACAGTAACTATCTTACAATGTAGTATATATTAGCTAACAATGCAAAACTCTTCGGTAAATCGAATCGAGTTCTCTCAGTCACTGTGTGTTTATCTAATAATAAATACACTTAAATGCACCTTCATCCCTGCCGTGCGCCAACAGCTTAGTGGTAGAATCTCAACTGACACCAATTCAGTCGGGTTTCGATCCTAGCTAGAGGCAACCGGACTTCTACCCACACCCCACACTGATGAGCTGTGATACAGCGAAAACAGTCTGTCTGGTTATATATATATATATATATATATATATATATATATATATATATATATATATATATATATGAAGAGTTAGATTTTAGGTGTACACTTTTCTTTTGGTGTGAATACACGGCAGACTCTTTTTAACACTTGTTGCCTCCTCACACACACACACACACACACACACACATATATATATATATATATATATATATATATATATATATAGAGAGAGAGAGAGAGAGAGAGTTTTTTAAGCATATTATCACTAGCAAGGCGAGAAGCTACTAGCACGTAAGGGGTTACAGAGGATTTGGAGCGTGAGCAGATAGGAGTGATAGAGAAAAGGATGAGGAGAAGGATAGTGGATAGATCAAGGCAACTGGAGATGTCCATTGACATTACATTTGAATAGTTGGAGATTATAGCTATCAGGGAAACAGGAATAGGGAAGGGAGTTCCATAGGCGAGAGGTACGCGGTATGAAGCTATTGGAGTAGAAGAGGCGGTTACATCTAACAGTTTCAATAGTGAAAGGGTGGGAGCGGGATGTCAGCCTCGTAGGACGCTTGAATTCGCGAAGTCTTGGAACCAGCGAAAGCAGCTCATCGGAGCAATTACAATGAAAGTATTTGTAAAAACGACAGAGAGAGGTGACGGTGCGTCTGTGAGAGAGCGACTGTAGACGAGATGCCAGATCAGGGCCAATTATATTGCATATCCGTCTCTGGATCTTATCAAGAACCCTGAGACAAACAGAAGGGGCTCCAGACCATATATAGCAGCAATACTCCATGCAAGGGTGAATGGTTGATTTGTAGATTTGAAGGATTGATTCTGGGGAGAAATATTTCCTGACGCGGCACAGGGAGGAAACTTTCCTTGCGGTGGACGAAGCTGTTGACTCAGTGTATTTGTTCCATCTCAGGTCAGTAGACAACGTGAGACCTAGCAGCCGCAAAGAGGTGCTCTCGGGAAGTTGAGCGTCAGACATTCTAATGGGGTGCAGGGAAGGATCTCTGTGGTGATTAATAGAGAGCAGTTTTGTTTTGGAGGCGTTAATGTTAACCAGCCAATTCTGGTGTTAATAAAATAGTGCTCAGTGTAATATAACAGAGCTATTAAATATATATAAATATACATATTATCCTTCATCTGTAGCACGAGTCGGAGTTTCATGTACAACGCAATCTTCAGGTGCTGGGTAGAGACTGACTATTACAATATTTATATTTTACCAAAAATATCTGGTCAGCGTAATGCTGCCACAGTGCATATATTATGCAGGGATAATGACTTTTTTATTTTAAAATTATATATTGCAATTAAAATAGACGGTATTTTTTTTTTTATAAAATAAACAGGGATTAATGGTATTTATTAAAAAGTAGATGGATCTAAAAATTATATATATATATATATATATATATATATATATATATATATATATAAAATAAAATTAAAAACATATTCATTTTTTATTTAAAGTTAAGATCATTATTTTATATTAAACATAAAGGAGGATTACATTTCAAATTAATTTTATCTAAAAATAAACATACCTGGAAACCATGAAAAATTGAATATACTCGACATAAGATAAGTTAAGAAGAAAACAAAATAAGAAAGAACAATATATATATATATATATATATATATATATATATATATATATATATAAAAATAAAAATATTAAAAATTAAAATCTTAAGACACACTGGGTTGTAGATTAATATTCTTTCGTTTTTATTATTATTTCATTTAGATTCCTCGACTAGTTTCCGCCAACATGGCCATTATCAGGAGAAAAAATTATATATATATATATATATGTGTGTGTGTGTGTGTGTGTGTGTGTGTGTGTGTGTGTGTGTATAAATAAAAAGAAAGAACAGTAAGATATATAATCCTGTGTTCTTATAGATATTTTTATTTTTACAAAATAGTGCTCAATGTAAATTTACAGAGCAATAATATTATAAATTAACTGATTTAAAATATGTTTTTTTTCGCTACACAGTTCTAACCATGTTTCAAAAATGGAAGCTAAAAGCTTCGAATTTTATTTTGTAATTAAATTAAAGACATTAGTTCCATTTCATCCTCGTAGCGAAAAAAAAACATATTTTAAATCAGTGAATTTACAATATATATATATATATATATATATATATATATGTATGTATGTATGTATATCAAAATGAGTGAAAGAATAGATCAAGTAAAACTCAGCTGTTTGTAGTATTTATTTTAAAAAGTGCTCAATACAAAGTAGAGCAATATATTATTAGTATCTTATTATAAGATATTACAACAAAAAATATCTTCAAATTGCTACTGAATAGGCGATGATGTGTAGTGCTGAAACATATTGTGAATCGATTTCAACATATTTCTGTTATAATATCTTATAATAATAATAATAATAATAATAATATATATATATATATATATATATATATATATATATATATATATATATATAGGAGTAGATACGTTTGCCTATCGTCCGGTTCACACAGCAGGAGAAGGTTCATTCTTTGTTTCCTGTTTAGGATTGTGTTTATTCGCGAATTAAATCTTGACCTCTTCAAGTTTAGAATTAGCTATCTTGCGCTTTCTTACGCTAATACAATTCCACAAAGTAATCCCTTCCTTGAGTGACCCTCTGTTGTACAGTAGGATAATATATATCTATACAGTGTCCACCCAAAAACATGCATGCACCGTTCAGAAAAGGAAAAAAAATGTATAGATATTGTAATGATAAATTTATTCAGACATCTCAAGAATAATAGAAGTTATATTTGGTCTCTACAACCAGAAGAGATGCTAAAAATAGTAGCCTTAACCTCCAGACACTTACTAGCACGGCGGACAACTACTTGGGTAACATTGGCCAAAATGACGAGTGCGATTGTTGGAGATGCATTTTCAATTTCTTGTCTAATGGCCGCCATTGTAATGCTAATTGTCGAGGAAGTATCGTACTACAGTAAAGAGTGTTCTCGCAATTTGATAGAACTACGAAAGACAAGTTTTTCCTTTCCTGAAGTGTGCATCTAAAATAGACGCTATTTTTATTTTATATAAAATAAATGGGGATTAATATTTTATTTTATATTTAAAATAAACAGGGATTAATGGTATTTATTTAAAAAAGTAGACGGACCTAAAAAAAAAAAATTTTAAAAACAGATTAAAACAAAATTTTTAGTTAAAGTTAAGATTATATATATATATATATATATATATATATATATATATATATATATATATATATATATATGATTGGTGTATATGTGTTGAAACGAAATGGCTATTTTTGTAGTGATTTTATATCATATTTATGTTATAAATTTTTTAAATAAACAATTATAACAATATATATATATATATCTACAGTGGAACCTCGGTTCACGAATTTAATTACTTCCTGGAGGCCGTTCGTAACCCGAAATGTTCGTAAACCTAAACTATTTTTCCAATAGGAATCAATGTAGAGGAAAACAAACAGTCATAGTACAATAAAATTTGAAAAGAAAACCACTGCACAACACACGAATGTTATACAACATGGCTGCCGACTCATAAATGATTCCGTTCTGCTTAACTCGGTTCGGCAATGTTGTTCGAGAAACGAAATTTTTCTTCGATAACAGAAGCATTTTTATTTATTTTCTGTTCGAAAAACGATTTATTCAACATGTGCGACGTTCACGTTCAACAATATATATATATATATATATATATATATATATATATATATATATATATATATATATATATATATATATATATATATATATATATGTGTGTGTGTGTGTGTCTCAAATTTCAGATATAATTAAAAATATATCTGTAATATGGGAATGTGAATAAAGACAAAAGTAAAATTTATCTTAGGCGACATGTTTCTTCTTCTGATGAACTTTATCAACTACACCGTTTAATCAATTTTCTTTATTAAATTATGTCACTTAGCATCCTCCATAATTTTCAGACTGATGAATATTTATGAGCTTTTCTTAAATTTAAAAAAAAAATTAAATTATGTTTTCTGATTCCGTTTGAATGAACGAATCCCCATTTTGCTTCTTCTTCTATGTGCCGTATCCATTCAGGATGTTGGCGACCATGGCTCTCCACAATTTCCTAGTCAATGTTGAGAGAACAAAAAAAAGACAAAAAAATAAAAATAAAATAAAACTGTAACGTGAGAAACGTGGGAGTAAAGGAACTAATTAATTAAGCCGTTTATTTTGCTCGGGAACTAATTTTGTTTAAATACAGATAAATATTTTATTTTTCTAGTTTATTAAAACGACTAAGGGAAGTATTATTTACCCTGGTCTACCATGCTGAGACGGGATGTGACGGAAGGTCAGGTTTAATGTGGGGATCCCGAGCAGGTACAGGTGCTCTAGCATCGATATGCCTACAGATCCCTCTTTTTAGTGCAATAGGGTGGTGCAGCCCCGGGCAGTTGTTCACAGGACCGGGCACCTCGAAGTATTTATTTTCCTCAGTTGCGTCTCTGTCTGTGGACCGAGCCATAGTTGTGTTGCACTCTGCCCGAAGATAGAGAAACAACTGAGAGATTATAACGAAGGGAAGTAATCATTCATACATTTACTAACTTCATTTGATTTACCTACCTTCCCACTACAGATTG